TCTAGATCTGCCGCTGGGTTCTTCCTGTAAAAAGGGAGTTTTTCCTCCCCACTGTTGCAAAGCGCTAATGCAAAGGGGATCGTCTGGTTGTTGGGCTTTCTCTTTATTATTGTACGGTTTTCACCTTACAATATAAAGTGCCTTGAGGAAGTGTTGTGGTGATTTGGCACTATATACGTAAAATAAAATAAACCTTTTGCACATTAATGAAATGAACAATTTTACAATATCATGACTTTTTACTACTTATGTTATAATAGAATTTCTATATAGTGAGGGGAGGTACGCCATCTCATTTACAACAGAGGCAAAGACTTGATCAAAGCTGAGATGATGATTGCATCAAAACAGATTTAAGAGATACCAGAGCTCAAGCTTCACAACAAATGCATTCCATGTAAACCATTTACTGCATGTGGCGCTTGAGAATGCCTGATGCAAGACTGTGGTTTCCATAGAACTCAGTATCTCTTCTCATCTCTGATAAAAACGGCAGGCGGTAAATACAGGATGTAGTAAATGGGGAGTGATTCTGTACACAGCCGCAGTCCTGAGCTTTCAGTCGAGTCAGCTGTACGACATCTTCCTGTTTCCTCTCTCTGTGCATGCGTCCAGGAATCATCACCACTGGTTCTACCCTCAGCGAGGAAAAGTGCTACGTTTCAGCATACCGGGTCCTGTACAGTAACGACGGCAAGCAGTGGTCCGGCTACAAAGAATCAAATTCTGTACAAAACAAGGTAATCAATAAACCCTGCTCGCTCAACAGTTACAAAAACAAAAAGAGTGCAAAGCAAAATGACGTAACCCCCTTCTTCCAATTGGTGCAGATGGACCAAAATATCACTTTAGAAGTCTGCAGAGACACTAATATGGATTGTTACCAGAGCAGCTACTATTGACTAAGAGATGTTTATGGCAGGAAATTGGAGCAGTCAGTGGTTTGAGTTAAGTGCTGTGGTAGACAAGCCTGGACACTCGGGCATTAATAATGGATGGATATGGATTTAGTGGCAGAGTTCTTGGGCTGAAACTGCTGTTTATCAGTTCCTTTCTACTGGGATTCTCAGTCTCATATTGTGTGGAGGAAAGTAATTATTAGCTTGCCAAGTTGGAAAGTAATCAGCTTATAGTGCATTTGTCCTCAAACTGAATTGTTCCTGCAGCTGTTACTACAGTTGGGTTCAAACCTCTGACACAAATAAGAGAGCTTGCTATTATTTTGTGTTAGATTTTTCAAGGCAACAACAACTACGGAGACGAGGTGAGGAATAACTTCATTCCACCAATCGTGGCCCGGTTTGTGAGGATCAATCCCATCTCGTGGTACAAGAGAATTGCACTCAAGTTGGAGCTGCTTGGCTGCCAAGTTCCTTCAGGTAAATGGGGTGTTTACTGGCAGATCAGCAAAGTGAGCTGATCAACACAGATGTATGTATTGTGCAAACGTTTCGAGACACCACTCATTTCTTTATATTTTGCTAGGCTTTCTCTCCAAAGTTTTTCTTGTACCTGATTATTATTCAACTACTTAATACTGTCATATGAATAATTTAAGCAAAAAAAAACGACACCAAACTCGGATGAACTATAATTGTCTCAAACTAACCAAAGAGCCAATTTTAAAATCTTTGTTACTAGTTACTAGATGGTTTCAGTGGAAGAGTGGTTGGCCCGAAACCTGAAGTCTTAAGGAAAGGAAAACATGGAGAAAAGAGATGCCAAATTACAGAATAAGAAAACTAAAAAAATCAGTGGGAGGAGAGGTCAAACAGCAGTGACCATTTTACATGTAAAACATGGTGGAGCTGCTTTCATGGTTTGGGGCTGTATTTCAGCCAGAGGTGTTGTCAAAGTTGGTGCAGTAAAAACATATCTGAATGGGGGAAAAAAAAACCACAATGGAACACCCCTAAGTCATGAATTGACCTCCCAGGGCTTGGATCTCATTACTGAAGGAGCGTTGAATCATCTTGATGGAACAGAACAAAAGGCAGCCAACATCCAAAGAAGAGGTTTGAATGTCTTTTAAGATGGACAGCTATTCCTGAACGCTGCTTAAATAGATTATACAAATGCTGCCTAGTAGAGTTCAGGCTGTGTTGAAGAATAAAGGTGGTCATACCAAATGTTGACTTTCAAGCCTGTTAGAATTGTACAAACTGTGGATTTCCATTGAATATTTCCACATTTCATTAACTTGCTAGAAAAAAATGGAAACATTTTCCCAGCAACAAATAAAGAACTGCAGGGTGGCTTGAGACATTAGCACCGTACTGGAAGTACATTTGCATTCATTTACTTGCAGAAAGGCGCACGACAGATTTGAGGCCAAGGATGTCCCCTCCCCGTCGTACTCCTGGCGGCACAAAACATCCACCTCACCTTGGCCAAACAACACCTACCCCGAACATAAGAAACACCACCATGCCTCCCCACACTGGTAAAGGTGCGTGCAGTTTTTGACAACAACACTTAAAAAAATAGTATTTTATATTATAATAACTTTTGTGCACCCCCCCCCCCAGATGTGACTCTGGCAGCAGTCCTGGTTCCCGTGTTGGTCATGGTCGTGACTCTCATCCTGATTGTGTGCTGTGCTTGCCACTGGAAGAACAGGTATGCATCTTCTTTCTTCGTGTTTTTGTGTTTGTTTGGTTTTTTTTTTTTAGGGGGGGGGGGATATTTTTATTTTTTTGCCCTTTTGACTTTACTCGTCTCTGGCAGGAAAAAGACTTCTGAGGGAACGTATGATCTTCCTCACTTGGATAGCACAGGTACGTCATCGCCGTGCAGGACAGCTCAGTTTGCCTGGATGTGTTTTGTGGACTTAACTGTTGCACCTCTGTGCATCTGTAGCAGACTGGTGGAAAAGCATGAAGCAGCTACTGCCCTCCAAGATGGTGGAGACGGAGGATTCGGTGCGATACAGCAGCAGTGAAGTCAGCCGGCTAACGGGGAGGGGTGTCGTACCAGGGCTACATGCTGAACCTGCAGGTAAATGCTGTCGCCTGCAGTAGCTGCTGAAGTAACCAGGCGTTCTTAGTACAGTGCTAATTTTGTCGAATTAGGTTTGTACTTATTGACATGCAGTGTTGGAAAAATGCATCTGCAGCCATCCTGATTTCTTTTTTAAAATATTGTTTTTATGCATATTTGTTACACTTATACATTTCAGATCATGAAACTAATTTTAATCTTAGACAAAGAAAACCAGACTAAACGCACAGTGCGGTTATTGAGGGGGAAAAAGTGATTCAGACCTATCTGGCCCTGCGCGAAAATGTAATTGCCCCCTAAACCTAATAACAGGTTGTGCCACCCTTGGCAGCAAAAACTATAACCAAATGTTTGCAGTAACATAACGACTAATCTTTGACATCACTGCAGAGGAATTTAGGACGGCTCTTCTTTGCAGAATAGTTTTAATTTAGACACATTGGAAGCTTTTCCCAGCATGAACAGCTTGTTTAAGGTCTTCTCATTGTCCTGCTGCGTAACCCAGGTGTGTGTGAGCTTCAAGGACTTCCGGAAAAAAACAGAATTCAGGATTCCACCAATGACTGCAGTTAAGTTATCCTGAAGCAGCGAAGCAGCCCTAGTCCATGACACTACCACCACCATGTTTGACTCTTGGTTTGATGTTGTTCTGGGGTCTTTTGTGACCTGGATGAGTTGTCGATGTGCAAAGTTGTGTTGAAATTTCTCCTATTGTGGATTGTGTGGTTCACTGGAACCTTAGAAATGCTTTTCTAGCCCTTTTCTACTTTAGCTCCAGACTGATAGTTGTCAGTGACTTTGTTTCACAGCTGTTTCTTTAGCTTGTAGCATGATGTGTTGCTTTTTGAGATCTCTTGGCCTGCTTCAGGTTCGAAAGGTACAACAGGTTCTGTTTGAGTGATTTCTTGATTCAACAGGTCTTAATCAGGTCTGGTTGTGGAGTGACATTTTCCACAGGTTTCCAAAAAAATGTCATTAATCACAGTTAAGTGGGGGAAATAGTATTTTACCCCCCTTAATAAATGATATAATTTAAAAACTCAAAAATTTTGTGCTTACTTGTGTTAAAATTGGTTTGATCTGAACCAATTAAGTGTGACAAATATGCAAAAAAATAACAAATTGGGAAGGGGGCAAATATTTATTCACAACACTGTAAAATGTGTTTCTATCTAGTGTTTTCTTTTTCACACAAATCCAGAATCAAAGACTTTCACTTCCTGTCTGTAGCACACATTCAATATCTGAGTGGTATTTATCTGATGTCCTCTAAATAAATCACACTTCTTAACATGTCTAAACTATTTTTATCAGTTAACTGTTGGTTTTGTTCTTTCTGTAGAGTATTTGGCTTAAAAAAAAAAAGAAAAAAGGATTGAATAACATACTTTTATATATACCAGTTTTTCCCACTTCAGGGCAGAGTTAAGTTTTGAAGAGATTGGATATCCAATTAGTTCCACTAATTGCAGGGTTAGCGGTTTGATTCCCCACATCCTGGATTACTGCTACAAACCTCTGTGCAGCTGCAGATTGCTTCTATAAAATTAGAAAGTTAAAGGCTTTTGTAACATAGAAATTCAATTGTTAATCGGTTTCCTTAGTTGCTTAGCATTCTAGAGAATTTGGGAGCAATTTCAAGAAGTAACCTGGTATCTGTATGATGCCCTTGATTTTTAATATTTCTTTACTGTACACTTTCCTTTCAGAATATGCCCAACCACTCGTAAGTGGCGTAACAACATTAGGAGCAAGGTCAACCTTTAAACCAGATGATGGGCCTTCCTCAAGATACTCTGATCCAGACCTGTATGACGCCCCCATCTCTTCAGGTTTATGCCACGCCTACGCCGAACCCCTGCCATCTTCAGGATCTGAATACGCTACGCCCATTGTGGTTGACATGGGTTTGAAGCAGCCCTCGACTTTGTGTAATTTCATGGGCACCAGGCCCGGCTCCCTGCATCCATGGACAGACAGTGGCCAGTCAGGGAGCACTGCATACGATAGACCCAAAACCTCCACTGAACTTGCCACACCCACTGAGGATCTGACTTATCAGGTACCTCAAAAAAGCACTCAAAAGCCAACAGGACAGGGCTGAAAAGCTTGAATGCACATGGCCTTAATCTGCCCCTCACTACCAACGCGACCCAGAGGATAAAGATGGGGTTGAGTTGAGAGCCGTTGAGCTTTGTGCTTGAGTCTTGAATGAACACTACCTTCGCTTTAGATTCATCCGGAGATGTCTGTTTCCTAATTGTTTCTGCATGGCCACAAACAGCTTGTGTAGTGCCATTAGAGTCCTATCACTGAAATCACAAAGATGAATGTGCTCGTGCCAGGCGTGAGTCGGAAATGGATGAACGGAAAGAGTGGAGGGTGAAAAGAAGAAAGCTGACTACTATTTGATAAAGACTTTGTCCCTGTTTTGTGATTTTTATTTTTCTCTTTTTAAAGGTCTTGCATCCTGTGAAACTGTGATTTCCATTCTGCCGCTGTCTGTTACACACTAAACTAGATCCAACTGAAATGTACCCGATGATTTACAGCCATCGAATCTGAGGGTTTTCGTACTGAATTAATTGCATGTTGAGGAGTTTCTCGTTTGCAGCGAGACTCTTGCTTTCCACGGTACGTCGTTGTCTTATTTTGTTTTAAAAGCATGACTTGAAATTGTGTATAGTTCTAGTAATTCCATTACTGCAATCCTGTTTAAAAACTCAAATGATTTATGAATATTTATTTTTTATTTCACATCCTGCTGATAAGGAGAGACTCTTTAATAGTAAGCATCCCGCCACTCAGTAACGCGCTGTTATCGACACCTGACTGACAATAAATTTTGTTTTATAGATGTATAACAGAAAAGGTCAGGAGAATCAATCCAGTGAACGTCCAAAAATCCTTTGAAAATACTCTTTTTGTAGTATTGGGAGACCAAACGTTGCCTTTTCTGTGTTTATGCAATGTTGATTCACAACAGAGCCGACTTTCACAATCGTGCCAACATCCCAAGTTTAGCCAAATAAACATTTGCGCAGTCTTAACTGATTTATTTTTTTCTGTTTTCTACATTGTTGGATGAAAGAAAAGGTACAAGTAAAAAGCGGTAGATGAGCAAACATGTTACAGCTGTGATAACTTTATAGTTTGTGTGTTTCTTAGATCGTGTTTTGTGGATCGTGGTGATTGTCTGGTGATGAAATTGGGTGTTGTGACTTGTTCCATTATTCGTATCTCTGTGCATCAGTGTCTGTACGTGCGTAAAGCTGTCGTCATATTTTGGCCTTGTGGGGTTTTTGGACAATTTACAGTGTGGCTTATAGTAGGACGTCGTCTGTAGCACCGATAGACCTGCGTTCCTCTCCTTCGCCTGTGCTACTCATGTGCAGGTGGAGGAGAAATGCAGAACAAGCTGCTTCATATCTTTTACAAGAACAACAACCTGATCCTAAAGGTGTTGTTCCAACAGCTGTGCCACTGTCACGCTTTGATCGTGCTCAGTAACCAGTTTTCCAGAGCTCCAGGTCACAGAAGGGTTGAGTTTGTGGCTCTCACTGATTGTATATAGAAATAAAGAGTTTTTAAAAGAAAATGTTGTAGTTCTTGGTATTTTTCAAGAATATTTATTTGTCTGTTTCTGTTTAATGTTTGGTGAAAGGTTCTGGGTTGAATCCAGCCCGGCGGCCTTTCTGTGTGGAGTTGGATGTTCTCGTTGTCTGTGTGGGTTCTCTGGGTTCTTCTGCAGGTATTCTAACTTCCTCCCACAGTGCAAAGACATGCATGGGTTTAGGTTAATTGGTGACTCTGAATTGACAATAGGTGTTAATGCGAGTGTTGGAGGGTTAACAGTCTTTGTGTTAACCCTCCAACAGGTTAGTGGCCTGTCCTGGGTGTACTCTCCCTCTTGCCCTATGACAGCTTGGATTGCCTCCATCCCATCTATGACCCCGAGCTGGATAACGAAGAGAATGGATGGATGTTTTTCCTTTGTTTTTTGTGTGAAAGCTTTTTAACGTGACAACCCCACACCATAAAAGATGCCTCCCCCTTTAGTCTGAACTGTGAGCTATCAACTTGCTAAATACTGCCACGTGTTATGTTCATGTTTTCTCCCCACCCCAGAAAGAGTAACATGGGTATCAAACTACTTCCTCAGGATTTGCTTGTCCAGTGTGTTGGACTGCCAGTGTAGCAGTTAACACACGGAAGACTGGCAGGAGACAAAATCCCAGTCTAAGAAGCTAGAGTACTCCCGGCCCCAAGCCTGGATAAACGGGATTGTGTAAAATCGAATCTACAATCAAATGTGGCTCAATCTGCTGCGGTGACCCGTTGGGAAATAAGAGAGGGGCCAAAGTACCTTCAGTACGTTTATTTGACAAAAACTGCAAAATTACACCCACTTCCTTCAACCTGCCCATGCTTGTAGTCTCAATTTGTAAGTCTGAAGGTAACTTGGTACAGCAATATGCTAACAACTGAACCTGTAAATGTTTGCATTTAGCTAGGCTGCAGATTCTTAGTACTGTCAAATGATGGTGTGGTGTGAAGTAGCTATAGCCAAGACAGAAACAACACTTGATTCAACAGGTCATTTTAATTACAATCCTTTATTCAATTTTAAGATGTGGCACTTTGACAGTTTTTGCACACAAGGATGCAAGAATACACTTTGCATTAGGAAAATAAAAGTTGGATCTGTGCTTTTGTTAATGTAAGAATTCTTATAAATATTTATACATATTAACAGTACATGAGAAATGGTGTGTATTATAAAAGCAAACTTCAGCAAGTAAAAATCAAGTAAACACAGCTCAGATGTGTAAACACAGCAGCACCACGATAAACCCGTCACACGCGTGGATCTGAAAAAGAAAGCTGTTTTCCTTCACGTCCTGCCGCAAAATCAAACACAACATTCCTATTTAAACCATTTTCCCCATCCATCATTTACTCACAAATGTTTAGCACTTAGCTTTTTGTTTCTTAAAAAAACAAAACAAAACTTCAAATCAACCCAGCAATAATCTCTTTTAATCTGCTTGTAAGTTTTTCCCAGCATTCCTCTCATTAGTTTCCTGAAGCACCTCTTCTTCTTCACTCCTTCATGTTCTTCCCATCTTTTCCAAACTTCCACCAGACCACCGTGAGGACGACAGCTGTCAGGAGGATCAGGCTGCTGGTTACGAGGTAAGCAATAGGCAGGAAATGGTTCTGACCTCCAAACCAGGTCACCGTTGTCAGCACCACTTCCTTTCTGCCTCGAAAATACTGCACGGGAAAGTCTGAAAGAGCAGGAGGTCAAGGCCAAAAATATCTGATCAAAGAGAAGCGTGTTTAAATTGAATAACAAAAGATGGAGGGAAAGTGCATTTGGGAGTTAAGATGCCTCTAACACAGTGAAAGGATACTGTAGGTTATATCGATGCTGTAATTGCCTGCTGGAAGCCCCTTCGTGAAGGGGTTGTCGTTTCGGAATAAGATTCCATAAAGTTTCTTGAAGTTGGGGAAAGCTGCCTCCCTCATCCATACAATGAAATCGTCATTGATAAAACCGTTGTTCATGGGATTGGAGGGATCGAGCTTGTACACGGGCTTCTGCCAGTATGGAGGTGGAGCCGTTCCTGTGGGGAAAACATTTAAAATGTGACACAAAATGATTTCTGAGAAAAGAAAAAAAAATTCCTTCTTTACCTTCAAACACTTCGGCTAGAGTCAAGTTGTCAGTCGTTGGGTTGCGGAACTTGATGTATTTGTCCGTGTACCACGTGAGGCCTTCCCGCATCAAAGGAACCTCACCTCTGCCGTTGGGATGATGATACCACAGGACGAAGGAGTCTGGGAAAACACATGCAAGTTAAGAGTGACAGGAAGGGTAGAGCAGCTAACTGATGCAGTGTGTTTTGAGTTGTGTTTACCGTTGAAGATGCTGTTGGCCACAGCGCCACAGGGAGCAATCGGGCGTCCGCTGGGATCTTTCAAAAATGGCTCACAATATGAACTTGGGTCCTAGGGAAGATGTGATATTTAATCAAGTCGAGCATTCAAGTAAAATTCAAGCTTCTTCAGCTTTAAACACTACAACGCATGTCTGGTAGCTGAAGATTCATGCATGTGGTCCCGAAACACACGAAACACACTAAAATAAGGTCTGTTGTCATAGATTCAACTACCGAAGGTTAATTTTAACTCCGCCAACAACATGAAAGCGCTGCTTCCACTAATCACCCAGCATTATCAGGGGTGTGGCTCATCCGTACTTCTGTTTTTTTATCTTCACAAACCAAGTACAACAGATGACATGACTTAGCTTTAGTGACCATACAAGTCAAAGTTTCTGCATGATTAGTGTGGTCCTGTTTCTATAACAGCTCTTTGGGGCTGAACATCTCAGAGAAGCCGTGTTGTGGGAGGAGATGAGCATCTCCTAATGCTGCCCAGCCTCTTCTTTAACCTCTGGAGTTAGACGGATCCATCTCTTTATTCAGAACTGTCACTCCATGCATAAGGTGACCCAGCAGCTTTATGCATCACACTGGGGAGAAACTTCACCTAACTTAACATCTTATTTTGTCTCAGAGTCAAATGAAGTTGACCACTGAAATAAAACAGCAGGTATTGCCCAGTGCACGCTGTCAGTTTTATATACAGGCAGTACTCTTCACACCCAAAATAACTTCAACTTCTTTCAACTGCGCCCATCAAGATGCAGCTGATTTAAAAAAATAAAATAAAAGGAGAAATGATGTGCTTTTCCCCCACATAAACAAGTATGGAATTAATACTCTTAGAGTCCAAGACGAAAACCACTGATGACTAAAAAGAACACATTTGAAATGCTGTAGTTGATGAAAACATGAATTCTGCTCTCTACCAGAAAACCCTGAAAGAGAATGTTCTGCGATCACTAAAGCTCCAGCGTACTTGGTTATGCAGCAGGACAATGATCCGAAACTTCCGAAAGTCACCTCTGAATAACTCCAGATACATTTAAATGAATGTTTTGGAGTGGCCTAATCAAAGTCCACACTTAAGGCATGACCTTAAACGGGTCATTCATGCTAGAAAACCCTCGAGTGAGGCTGAATCAAAACAATTCTGCAAAAAACAAGTGGTTCAAAATTCATCCAGTGATGTGAAACACTCAACGCCAGATACAAAATCAACGGTGGCGTCACCATTGATTAGGTTTAGGGGGCAATTACTTTATCACAGATGATATTTGATCTGAAACATGCATGCGTGACAAATATGGAGAAAAATAAGATATGAGGAAGAGGGCAAATACTTATTTCTTGGCATTGTCAGCATTTCTGATGACATGACGATGATACCTTTAAATTTTTCTTCCTTCCAACCGTCTGCCCATCATCTCTGGAGTCCATGTATCTGCGAAGGTTCTGATGAAAGTTACGGAGTCCGTAATAGAAAAAGACATCTCCCTGGGACACACACACACACGCATTCACATCGTCAAGTGGATGAGTGTAGAACCACAAATCCTAAGATGAATTTAAGCTTTAAGCTTCAAAGCACAGACAACAAACGCAAGCACTGACAGTGGGGCCTGTTAGATACAGAGTGTGAGAGTAATAATCTTCACACGAGACCCGCTTCCAAGCTGTTTCAGAGCTTTGTGCCATACTTAGCGTGTGCTACTGAGGCCTCTGGAGTAAGATTATAAGTGGCCCTCAAGTTAGGATTATGTTGTCACTCTGTGCCGAGAGGTTCTTACCTTAAATGGTTTGTCAATCATAAAATTGACTGTGCAGGTGCAGGGCTTGTTTGCGTTGCTCACATTTTTACGCATTTCAAAACACTCGTTGCAGGTTTCAGCCTCTGTGTAGTCCAGCTGAAAAGACAACGAGAGAGAGAGAGAGGGGAAAGTGCAGATAGTGAACTTGATCTTAAACTTTTTCAAACATAACCTTCGACCTCATGTTGTCACACCCTGTTTTTATTGCACACAGAGGCATTGGGGCCTCTCTGACATGAACAAAGACAAATGCATAGCGCTCTTACGCCATCAAATTTCTAGAACTGAAAGTGAGTGTTTAGAAGCAAATGTGGTTTTCACTCACCTTCATTTCCTGGGTGTTCTGCACAGTGAGAAGCAGCCATACTCCCAACAGCAGACACATCAAAGCCATAAAGTAGAAAAAAGGCAGCACGGTGTTAGCAGTTAGCATTGGAGACCAGGCAGGTAACCGCTGCTGTTTGAAAGCAGAGTTGTCAGGTCTCCGAGCCAAGGGCCCGGGCTTGCCTTTCACCTTCCCCATGAGAGCGAGAGCTTTGGCTTCAGAAGAAGAACTTGATTGACAGCTGGAGACTCAAAAATTGCGTGTAAACCAGCCCTCCTCTTGTCTTCCTGTTTTTTATTTCAGCGATATCTCTCTGCACACACACACTCACACACCCCTCTGCTTGCCAAGGGATTTTCCCAGCAGGCTTTGCATCGTGGGGGCGACCGTTGTGTCCTGTTACTTATTAACCGCAATTCTTTACTCAACTACCTCTTTCTGTTACTTCCAATTTACCACAAGATTGTGTACTTCCGTCCTACAACACACAGACTTGTACAGAACAGCATTT